CTCCCTCAGGAAGGCCCATGCCCTCCCCTTGGAGGAGAACCTCCTTCCCTCAGCCAGAACAATGAAGATGGGTAGTGGGCGTGTCTTCCAGCATGACAACGACCCAAAACATATCGCCATAGCAACAAAGCCGTGACTGAGGAAGACGCACATTGAGGTCATGGAGGGAGCCAGTCTCTTCATCCTATAGAACATTTATGGGAGGAGCCGAAACTTCGAGTTGCCGAGCGACAGCCAAGAAACCTGGAGGTGTGTGCAAACCTGGCGACCAACCCCAAGAAACGTCTCCCCTCTGTGCTCCCCAACAAGGGTTCCCCCAGGAAACGTCTGACCTCTGTGCTCCCCAACAAGGGTTCCCCCAGGAAACGTCTGACCTCTGTGCTCCCCAACAAGGGTTCCCCCAAGAAACGTCTCCCCTCTGTGCTCCCCAACAAGGGTTCCCCCAGGAAACGTCTGACCTCTGTGCTCCCCAACAAGGGTTCCCCCAGGAAACGTCTGACCTCTGCGCTCCCCAACAAGGGTTCCCCCAGGAAACGTCTCCCCTCTGTGCTCCCCAACAAGGGTTCCCCAGGAAACGACTCCCCTCTGCGCTCCCCAACAAGGGTTCCCCCAAGAAATGTATCACCTTTGTGCTCCCCAACAAGGGTCCACCTAGGAAACGTCTCCCCTCTGTGCTCCCCAACAAGGGTTCCCACAGGAAACGTCTCACCTATGTGCTCCCCAACAAGGGTTCCCCCAGGAAAAGTCTGACCTCTGTGCTCCCCAAGGGTTTCCCCAAGAAACATCTCCCCTCTATCCCCCCAACAAGGGTTCCCCCAAGAAACGTCTCCCCTCTGTGCTCCCCAACAAGGGTTCCCCCAAGAAACGTCTCCCCTCTGTGCTCCCCAACAAGGGTTCCCCCAAGAAACGTCTCCCCTCTGTGCTCCCCAACAAGGGTTCCCCCAAGAAACGTCTCCCCTCTGTGCTCCCCAACAAGGGTTCCCCCAAGAAACGTCTCCCCTCTGTGCTCCCCAACAAGGGTTCCCCCAAGAAACGTCTCCCCTCTGTGCTCCCCAACAAGGGTTCCCCCAAGAAACGTCTCCCCTCTGTGCTCCCCAACAAGGGTTCCCCCAAGAAACGTCTCCCCTCTGTGCTCCCCAACAAGGGTTCCCCCAAGAAACGTCTCCCCTCTGTGCTCCCCAACAAGGGTTCCCCCAAGAAACGTCTCCCCTCTGTGCTCCCCAACAAGGGTTCCCCCAAGAAACGTCTCCCCTCTGTGCTCCCCAACAAGGGTTCCCCCAAGAAACGTCTCCCCTCTGTGCTCCCCAACAAGGGTTCCCCCAAGAAACGTCTCCCCTCTGTGCTCCCCAACAAGGGTTCCCCCAAGAAACGTCTCCCCTCTGTGCTCCCCAACAAGGGTTCCCCCAAGAAACGTCTCCCCTCTGTGCTCCCCAACAAGGGTTCCCCCAAGAAACGTCTCCCCTCTGTGCTCCCCAACAAGGGTTCCCCCAAGAAACGTCTCCCCTCTGTGCTCCCCAACAAGGGTTCCCCCAAGAAACGTCTCCCCTCTGTGCTCCCCAACAAGGGTTCCCCCAAGAAACGTCTCCCCTCTGTGCTCCCCAACAAGGGTTCCCCCAAGAAACGTCTCCCCTCTGTGCTCCCCAACAAGGGTTCCCCCAGGAAACGTCTCACCTCTGTGCTCTCCAACAAGGGTTCCCCACCAAGTACTAAGTCATGTTCTGCTTCCGGATCAAATAACTTATTTCACTCCCTGAACTGCACTTCCATTTATAAACATTTGTGTCATGTGACCTCTCCGGATGTTTGGTGGATATTCCGTCTCCGATGATACAAATTATATCTGCCGGGGAGCCAATCAGCATCCTCCTCGCTGTAAATGGCTCTATGTGGGTGGAATGGTATATATTCAGCGGTCAGGATTTGTATCTGTGTGCCCCCCTGATATAGACGCCCCCTGGCATGGAATGTCTGCGCTGTGTAATCACTGATCTGATTCTTCGCGTTTCGTCGCCCAGAAAGTAAATAAAGATTTCGCGCCCGGATGACACTCACCGACTGGAAGCACGCGGAGACCAGGTTAGAGGGGAAGATGTTCCTGTGGAGAGAGGATGACGGTTGGTCACATGATCACATAGTAATACCCAATCAATCAATCAATCACCCAGCAGCTCCAAATACACCAAATTCCCAGCAGCCGGACCCGGATTTGTGGCCGGTTTGGTCTCATTTCTGAGCTGGGTGTGACACGGACGTCTCACGTCACCCGTGTTTGTTATGTTGGGAGGAAACAAAAACACAGCACATCACAGCTGTCAC